TCGAAAGGTATATAACAATTCGTAGTTAAACAATTAACTATATTTTCGGTTTGAAAATGAACACAGAAAAAGTGCATGTTCACCATTGCAGACTTCACTATTTTCATCGCGCTAAAATCTGCACTGAAACAAGAATAGAATAATTTGTAAGACTTATGGAGATAATATTGTGTCGGAAAGAACGTACTAAGATTGGTTCAAAAGATTTAAAAGTGATTTCGATGAACGATAAATTGCGCTGTGAATAAGCATTCTTTTGCCGCGGCATCCGCATACTGTCTGAAAGATGGCTAAAAGTGATAGATTTGAAAGGCAAATATGTATTTTAGTTGAAACATTTGTACCGTTTTTTTTTTTATATTAATGGATGCACTGAAAAGTGTACTAAGTTTTACAAAATAAATATTTGTTTGAATAATATTAAGTATATTTACTAAATAATTAAATATAAACATATTTATACAATATATATATTTAATACAAGAACTCAATTTGATTTAACTATAATTTTTTTGTTTAATGGCGATAAATAAATGTTTAGTCAATATTAAATATTTATTGGAAAAACATATATTAAGGTTTAGTGAGTTTTGTCAGAGTATATTTTTTCGAAAAAATGCGGGAATCTATTTATACTACCTACTATTTTAGAAATCAGAGTTTGATGCCATGGAAAATATAGCGCTTCAAAAATGTACGATATATAACACTCGAGTATTATCCGAGTACCGTTTGTCGGACGGTGAGTTCCGCGTATATAACGTGAATTCCACGCGGCTTCCTATATCGCTCCGTCGCCTCCGCGTCCTTGTCGTAAATTAAACGCAACAATTCGCAGATATCCTAACGTGCGGGATAACTTGTAACGATCGTATCGACGGTATCAATTACTAGAAACCGCTGCGGAGCTCGATCCGCGCGTCGCCGATCGACTCCTTCCCAGAAGGTAACCCGCCGCGATTATCTTTAATGGCAAACACCTTGACGGTGTGCCAAGCCGAGCGAGATTGGCCGCGGTGAGATCGAGACCTCCGGGACAAGCGCGGCACAGTTGATCGCAAGGCGATTCTTGAAATCGCAAAGGTGGGGCCTTAGATCACTAGAATCTATCCGGGAGTTTTCCGCTGAGACGAAATTGCGATAGAAGTTTTATTTTCCACCTGCATTTCTATTTTATATCTTGGGTTTATATATATGTATATACTTTATCTTGGGTTTATATATATATATGTATATACTTTATCTATACTCTCTCCCATCTGGACCTTTATCTCTTATCTGACTTGGTTCGTATTACAAAAGGGTCTCATAATCGATAGATACCTATAGATACTTCCGCGACCGGGTCCGCGAAAATCATACTATATTAAATTCTTAATGAAAGATTCTTAAAATAACCTTCCGTGAGTGCGCAGCTGGAAATCAACAGTGTAGCTGGCGAGAGGAAAAGGGAGAGGAAAGTGAGAGAAAGAGAGAAAAATAGAGTAAGGCGCCCAGCCAATAAATTCCACCGATTATTAAACAGATTCTATGCCCGGCTTCTAATATGAACCTCTGAATGCGCCGTTCCATCAATCGTTTCGCCCGAAAAAACATAGCACTAAAAGCAAAGTGTGGAAATAAAGATTGATGTAACTCAAAATATCTGATACACATATCATCAAGAACGGGTTCGCCAAAATGTCAAAATGAAACAACTGCTTAAATAAATATATAACATAAACTCTCTAATTTATTAAGTATAATTATTCATATAACTATGAATAATCTTAATTAAAATAAAGTCAAGAGTCAATAAAGTAAAAGAATAAAGTTAGTACTAATAATATTATATATAAAATTTATTAAAATCTAATATGTCTATCAACACATGAATAAAGCGATGCGAATAAAATTCGCAATATTTCGGAACACCACGTAAGCGTCCTGCTTGTTCCTGCATTCAACAGTAAAATCATTAATGTGCAGCAAAGTATAATTTTTATCATAGAGTACCGAGAATATCCTTTACAGTCTCGTCCCTCTTTCCGTTCGCATATACGCACGCAGGTGACCATTCGTCGTACAAAAAAAAAAAAAGAAGCGTGGCGCAGCGCGACATTTCGTCGCGATTGGATCTCCACGTCGCCTCTCATGATTTCCACGTTCGTGCGCGAACGATGCCGGGCTCGTCGGAATTTCTCGGTTACATCATCAGAAGTTTTTGCGGCGCCGCGCACACCGACACGTATGCAGCGTACGCGCCGCCTATGTCCTACAAGCCCGCTGGACAAAGTTGTGGCCGGTATCAATTGGCCGTGCTCTCCGCGTTGTATACCGGTCGACCTTCTGGAGTTGCAACACGAGACCTGACACAGATAGAAGAGACTGCGCCGCCTGCTGCAGCAACACACAGCTCGAACCAGTCGGCCCAGGCATCGCTCAGGCTAACGTAGTGCATGCCTTGCGAAACTGCCGGCAGGCCGACCGGCCGTTCGTTTCAACGGGGAAAAACCCGTTAATTTCGTCGGGATAAAATCAATCAAAGTAAGATAGAATCGCGCCGCTAGAGCCTGGAATCATCGCTATGACTCGCCGCGACCGGTGGGATCGATTAGAGTGCAGCGTGCGAGGCGATGCCATATCACGGAGCGTGGAGAACGCTTCGCACTGCTCTTTTCGATGAAAAACGACCCGACCATATAGAGGTGATCCTCTATCCGACGAGCCTCGGCCTTATTCCCTCAAAACGACCCTGACCACTCGATCTCGGCCAGTGGCGTAAACGGAGGATGATTTTTCGAAAACGGGCTGTGTAGAAAATCGCTTACGTGTCAGAAGTACCGATTGCATTTTGGGAAATGCATTCAGCAACAAGTATTTGTAACTATAATTGCACGGTAACAAAGAATGTGATTAAGAATGCCACTTTTATTGTTATTGTTACTATATGTTAGTAATAAAACTCTGTTTTCAAGACTGGCTCAATTCTCATTCTCTAGAATGAGATTCCGCTATAAAGAATTTAGGAAATGTACTTGTAGTTCTGAAAAATATATAGTTGGCATCGAAAACGACTGTATAATAATATATACTTGTTTATAATAACTATAAAAATAGAGCTCCTATCTACATTTATCTTATCACATTAATACAATTACGGTCACAAATATCAAACACTTTTTTCTCAGTATGCTATCGAATAAATATAATAAAATTGATACACGTATGTGTTATCACAGAGTGTTGCTGCAGCGAAAGTAGAAACTTACGGAAAAGATGATGATTTTACGGATTAATTTTCCGTTACAATGACCCGTTATAACAGCCATTATCTATGCATATACTTACGTTTATGCGTTATTACGAAGGGGAGTTATGTCAGAACATTTTTTTTGACATGTGCGCGGTAATTAATAATTTCCTAATGAACGTAAAGCTAATTTGCGGCATCCGCATAATTATTTCTCGCTCAGTAGACGATCCTATTTCGCCTGGCTATGTTTACAGGAGATTTTTGTGCGCACATACATGGTGCAATGCTTAAGCCGGGGACAGACTGATCGCGTTGATCGTGAAAGGGTTGAGAGGCGGTGCTCGTTTGCGCTACTGATCCGAGATTCTCGACGTGCGTCACCTTCGCAACGCGTCGCAACGCGCCGAGGCGTAAGCAATTTGCGTTTCGACGAATCGCGAGTCGCCGCCAGCTCTTGATCTGGGACAATAAAGTCCATGGTCTTCCTGTGGGCGTATGGTAACGCGAACAGCCTTCGATAGCTTCTTCTTGACTATACATCTTATGCCGCGACTCAATATAGTAGGAACTTATTGAATTCTATTGAATTTTTTTTACTTTTAATATAAGAACGAATATAACATGAAGTATAAATAAATTAATTAATTAAGGATTATTACTAATATTAAAGAACATATCGTTAATGATTTCACACAATATAAAATACTTAATTTTATTATATAACTATATGATGGTTAAATATTAGATACAATACATACGTCAAGAGAAAACGAAATAGTTTTGGCAACTTTTTTTTAATGAAGCGTAATACTATGTAATAACTAATTAAACATTGCTGACATAACTTTAAAAAATATATATTCAAAAATTTTTCAATAAAACTTCTGAGCAATACGCGGTACCACCACTGGCACTATACTAGATGGACGCAACAAAGTTCTACTTTTCGCAACAAAAAAACCACACATCATAAAATATTAAAATAAAATAAAACACATAATATTATTATTAGTATTCTAATGAAATGGTTCTTTGAATGTAAGTCATTTCGTTCGAAAACGAAAGTATATATAATGAGAGGCAATATTATATGTCGACGATAGTTTTTAGTTCTACACAAAAATTAATTCAGTAATTTCTCAATTCTTGAAAGTTATATATACTTAAGTAAAAATTTAAGGATAATAGTACTTCAACTATTATTAGGCTGTAATAAGAACGAGATAAATAGATTATAAAGGAAATATAATAATATTAATCATTCATTACAAATGGTTAATATTACTATATTTTTATAATTCATATAATTAAGCTTTATATAACTCAGCTTTTTTCAAGAATGTTATTACATAAACCTACATACATGACAAAGTAAGTACGGATTTTCACAACGTGGTCACATATACTGCATCAATTACATAAAATTTTGGTCTAATCAAGAACGAAAATTTGCTCATTCTCCATGTTAATATTAAAAGGAAGATTTTTATAAAAATGACGTGGAGGTTGCATGGCAAGACTAAATAAGGCTGCAAAGCATCTGGCCCTGCGTAACGATGCGGTTAGCGGCGGCTGCGTTCGCGCGGTATTATCATAACGGGTAGTTGCGGAAAATGAGTTTCACGAACTTTTAAACGCGTCGCGAGAGTTCCGTCCCGTTCGCCTTCGTACCTCGCAGCCCAGGGCGAAACCGTTCGACAGCTATATAGCATGACTCGAGTGGAAAACGCTTCAGTACCTAACGGTGGCTTTCTATCTGTTGCAGGAGAACATCTCGACCCCGGAGCCCACCGACATATCCGAGGACGATCACTACCCAAGTGAGCAAAACCTTTCAGTATCTATAGCTATCTGTTCTATAGCGTAAACCTTGCCGAGCCCCTTACAAGTCGGTGTCGGAGGTGGTGTCCCCCTTCGAACCTTCACCTGGCAGAGGATTACGAGATCGTAATCCTTACGAAACACAAGGTGCAGAGGCGTACGTCAGCCGCGTGCGTGAGCAAAGTTTTTATCGCTCGACACGATCCGTTTTTTCAATGCGCGTTTCGTATCGAGGATTTCGTCCTTCGTCGAATCTTTTTCGCGCATCTTTTCGTCGTCGTCGTCGTCGTCGTCGTCGTGGTCGTGGGGTCAGGTCACAACTGTTTCGGGAATCTGACCCGAATTCTACGGCGGCGTCGCACGTTTTTACATTATTGAACCGTGTCGTGAATGATTTAAACGTCACTCCGTCCGACTGTGTCATGCCATCGCGCGGCCGGTTCTCCGCCTCACCCTTTCTCTTTCCCTCTGTCAGTCCTCTCTCCCCGCTGGCCTGTTCGCCGGCTAATAAATCTCCGCTCTCGTCATCGCGCGGCCGAAGCGCCCGTCCGCCGTGTGTCACCGCTAATTCCGCCGCTCGGACGAACAAACCGCGCCCGCGCGATACGCTAGAAAATCTGTGGATTGTCCCTTTGAACTATCCGGTCCGATTATGTGCGGCTGTGCGCCGACGGGAACTATACGTGGAATATCGTTATTTCAGTCATTCCCGTGGAATTTGCGCGAATTAATAGTAAGCTCGTACATATTGTTCATCACCGCCGCTGCTGCCGCTCTGCTGTGGATTATTATAATAAGCTAAATTAGTTATTGACAGATCGAGTTTCGTCCCATCACGTGTTCTAATAATAATCCTAAGTAAACACATTTTGAAGCACACATTGATATTTCGTCAACTTTAAACCCCCTCCGCTGGCAACATTAACTTTAACTCTTTTGTTGGCAATGCAAAAGTTTTCAAGAAGTTAAACAAATTTTTTATTGTCCCAGATTATATAAAAATCTGAAGAAATTCTTATATATATATATACTTGTCAAAGTTTTAACAATAAGTTTTTACTATAGAAACTGGATTGTATTTTACTTATTTTTTGTAGATTTAATTTGTTTACCAAAGTTCACAATAAAAACATTGATGGTGCCTTTAACGACCCTAATTGTCAGTGGAAGATAAAAAAAATCGAAACGTCTATTTTTCTTTAATTTTTGTGTGCTTATAGATAAATCGTGTATCATAAGTAGATAAGATATAAATGATAAATTGTTATTAAACAATCTGAATTAATAAATTATTGAAAAGAAAAAAGAAAATGGATTATTTAAAATAAGTTAAACGGAAAGATTAAATTTTTCTGCGAATGAAATGGGTTACTTAGTGAATCGGATATTCTTTGAACATTTCCCGGTAAATCCTTGTAGGATCTCAGACGGTAATAAATCAAGGCATAATAATCTAAGGGTTAATGTCGGCTATTCGATTCCAATGTACGTTCGCGGCAGCTCGCGTGGCACGGATCGATATAACGAATTAGTAGTATCGAACGCGTTACTCGGCATTCGATTACGGTTTCACGACGTACAGAAGAGCGGCTCGTCTTCGGCGTGCGGAGAGGAACGGACATGTATGGTGCCGCGTTACACGCGCAGTGTGCGGTCAGATAAAAAAAAGACGGAATCAATAATTTCGCGAGAAGAACAAGAAATACACGTACATGACACATATATATGAATACAGTCACTGATCCGAATGTTCAATTGAGCTTGTCTGTGACTAAATTCTTGACAAGTCTCTTTAAAAGCGATCTGGAAATTATCTGGTAAATCTAGTTAAAACGCGCTAACAAATCAAAATGCGAAACAGGTCTAAAGTCTTTACTCATGCGAAGCAACAAGAAACTATTGTCGTGGAAAAAATTGTAAGAGTGAATGCTATCATCGAGTTTGGCATTTAAAATTCCTACATGGAAAGAAGTTTTGCTGAAAGGTCTAAAAATTTAGTTAGATATACAGATTTGAAAATAATTTTATAAATAGAAATAAAAAGTTTCTTACATATACTTATTTTGACGATCCAGCAAAAATTATGTTCAGATCTATGTCGATGTTTTTGAATACATGTAAATCTGAAAATAATTTCGTTGTACCATCAAAATAATTATGTTGGAAACAAAACAATAAGCGCTGCAAAAAGTTTTTAACAATCAGTTTGAGCATTCTATACATAATTATCCAACAAAACTATACTTCAACATAATCGTTCTTTCCATGTATTATGATAGAAAATTTGTGTAAAAACATATTTTTTTTGTATTATCTATACCCTTCGGATCGATATCTCGTAATCTCCTTTCCTTTTTCATTCACGCGATTTGAATGTCACGCGTTTAACATACTGCACTTTTATTAGATAACTATCTTTCTGATTTATATGTTTTAAATGCTTTCCTCCACTCTATCTCGAATAATTTCTTGGGAGTCGCGCGTAAGGCCACGACTGTAAGCGATAAGCAATGTGTTACAACTTGCGAATGGTTGAATTTGTTTATTAATCTTTTTAATTGTTACTTGTTCCACATGTATGAAGATAAGTTCTTGTTTATTACATTTGTAATAAATCAATCTTATACATATATAAAGAAATAAATTTTAGATTTATCAGAATTTAGATATTTCAAGATCAATGTCGATATTGCTAGGGAAACATTCACGTCATGCATGACTCATCGAGTCATCGCTTGTCGTTCGCTAATGTGCATGCAGCAGCTTTTCTTATATCGACTACGTTTTCGGCAACTATCGCTATCGACGCTTTATTTTTCGTTCGTCTTACTTGAATTACGTTATTTACTCATCAGCAGTGCAGACGCACTTTGCACTTAAAAACTTTACGGTAATAACTACCAAATGTTAAGTGAAAAAATTTTGGTCAAATATTTATTTTTGTTAATATAATACAAAATAATTTTACTTTTTAAAATATTTAATTAATATTATCAAACATATTATAACAATATAATTAACCGTTCGATAATAATGATTACTAAATATTTAGAAAGTGAAATTATATTTTGATTTTATTAACCCAACGTTTGATTGAAATTGTTTTACTCGACGTTTGGTAGATTATTGCTTGATTTTGTTTCAGTGTGAATCAGAGAATGCGAAAATGCATACGATCACTACTCGTTCTAAGATATCAGTTCGATCGGTACATCAAGATGACAAATCATGGCATGCGCTAAGACTGGCTTGTAGATCTCGCCGGGCCCCTCGGTAGTTCTCGGTGGATACCTCACGAAGCGAGTCGTGTGGACAGGACGTCGTTAATCGCGCTGTCGAATTCTACCGCGACTCTAATCAATAATACAACCGATATTCCTCGGCTGACTCGATCGCATTTGGGGATAAATCAATGGCGCATACTTCGACGGGGAGAGTTAATCGTAGACTCACTTACTCGGGGGTTTAATCCGTCGTGGCCGCGGGGTTGGTTAGTTTTTATTGGAATCCGTGTAAATTACTCGATCGATTAATAATCGTAAACGGTCCAGCGCCAGCTGTGACGGTCGAGCTAGTGTGGCCTGCCGGCCAACCGATTTATCAGTTTCGGGTAATTAAACCTGTTGCGTTATTAAATCGAGGACGTCAACGACGTTGTTGTTTTGTAAGCTTAATTTATTCGGCCGCGATTCGCCCTGGGGAGGGGGGGGGAAGGAGGCTCACCTCCCGAGCTCAGGTAGCTGATAAGTGATAACAGCCTCCGGCGTACGAGGCCAGCCACCGGAGGTAGATGACGAATGTCGCGACTCGTTTGCGATATAAGATCACGTCCGGTTGTATGGCTCTACTCTGGTATGAGCAAGGACTCCCGTTTGCGGGAAAGAGTGCCCTCGAGCCTTACATACGCGCGGCACGCTATCGTTTGCATAATACAGTTTTCTAAACTTGTTTCAAGTCAATTGGCACTTTTAATTTTGGCAGGCACGCTCATGAAAGATCCGGATAAGCTGAAGTTGATGCTGCTCGCGTGGAATTATAATCTCCAGGCACAGGCGCAGGCACAGGTCCAAGCTGCCAACGCGGCTCTCTCGCCGAATAACTCGTCGACTACCACGGCTACCACTGTTGGTACACCAATCACCAGCCAATCAGCCATTTCCACGGCAAACAACACCATTAACAACTCTACACTCACAGGTAATACCTTATTTCATCGGCCGGCATATGCGGCGTTTTCGAGCTGTGTCGCGATGTCCTAAGCTATATATGCGAATGTATTCATAAATTGCGCGTAAAATGTTAAGAATCGAATGGCGTTTTTAACCTTTACAGGATGGGAAAGGCATTACAGTAGTGTTGAAACGGTGTCATATTTGGAGGCAAAAAATACAATGAAATAATGAATTATTGGTAACAAATTTTATTCCAGGAAAAACAGCAAGTTTAAAAATAGACCCATGTTCTCTAATTTTTTAAGTCCTTCTTACAGATTAGTCTAGTGACTTTTAATGAGCAAAATGTACATTAAAAAAGAGAAAAAATGCACGAAAAAGTAGTTTTGCTCAAGTACCTAAAAACTTAGCTAAATAAATAATTTGTTAATAATTTTATTTGATTATCAAATTAATTATGTAGAGTACGTTTGAATTGGTTATAAGAACGTAAAATTGAAACAAACACTTGAAACTTTTCTCGCAATCGATTTTTTTCATTTATTTCAGCTTTCACAAGTTCTTATTATGAGATCATATATCTTAGAATTTAATGTCATTAACTGTTTTCAACGACTACATCAATGAAGGAGACTCAATCGCATCCGGTCGCATTACGTGCAATTTCAATCACAACTTTGCTCATGTGATTGCGAACGTCATGGTATACGGGGGAAAAAAAAAAAAAAATTTGCCTCGCGAAATCGACAGGCGAGACGTTTAACGGAATCCATTACGGGACGAAAGATGTCTAGACGTCTTTCTTTCTTTCTTCTTCGTCGCGAAAGGACTCGACGAAGTTACGTACGCCAACGTCCCATTGATGTCGTTCTGACTGACGAAATCCCACTTATGAAAAGAACCTTGCTCCGCCTGGCGTAAGCGCAGAGCCGGGGGCTTTAATGCTCAAGTTTTGCATCCTTCTCGCGCGTGTGACGCGCGGCGCGGCTCTGCTCGGCGGAGTGAATTGCAGGTTTCGCGGGGCCAAGGTGTACCGGCCATTTAGCTCGTAAAGTTTTGTCGTCGTGCGCGACGTGACTAATGGATCGCCGACCTAGGACGTACCCCGTGGCGTAGAAAGAGCAATTCGACGCGCGTCTCATTCGCCTATGTGTGCGATTCGTGATCGTATGTGCGCGCGAGCGGTCTCTCCTCGCCGCTTCCACACCCACGCATTCCGGCGAAATCCGCGTCAGGGTGAATCGCGGGGGTGAGACCCGCCGCTCGAATCCTTGTGCTTTCCCCGCCGGCGATGAATCAGTGCGGACAGAAAGCCGCGTGCGAGAGATGAGGAATCCGATATCTTTGAGCGTCAATACTTCTCTCGGAATTGGCGATGCGAATGCGGTGTGCATTGTTGTACGTCATCCTCGTTCATTAATCCTTACGTAATCGCCACAGAAACTCGCATTCTTTCGCACTACTGCAATCTTGCCTAAGCAGTGTCCGTTAAAACTCGAACTTTTTAGAATTTAGATCTATCATTACCGATTTCTTATGTTTTTTTCATATTTAATCTTTACAAGATGGAAAAGCCATTACGTTCTAAAAAAAAAGTATCGATTTAACACTATGCGGTGTCTACATAATTCTTACTGTATATGGTGCTACTATTAACATCAAAATAATGTAAATTTAACACGTCATAGGTTTTAAATCCATACCGATATTTTTTAAAGTGTATATTGGCACCGAAACATGATCGTATTTTGAGGCAAAACATACAATGAAGTAATCTCCATAAAGGAAAAACTGAGATTTTAAAAATAAATGACGTTTTTCAAGATTTCATACTGGACTGGCTTAACGATGTCGCTTTGTTTCGACAATATTTCTAGAGTTTCACGTGTTAAATTAATTTTGGACGAGAGACACGATCAATTGTATTATACAGTGAAAAGGATCCAATCCCCGGGATGAAAACGTCTGTAAGTTAATATTCAATACATTTATTCCGATACACAAATACCTTATTGGCGGCTCACATATGCCTTTATTTTACACTTTATTTATCTGCATAAATAGAGAGAGAGAGAGAGAGAGAGAGAGAGAGAGAGAGAGAGAGAGAGAGAGAGAGAGAGAGAACTCACACACAATATATATTTATTTTAAAAATAGATCTTTACTTTCTAAGAGTTATAAGCCTTTTACTGCCTGCCTTTTTATTCTTTACAATTCTATAAAGTACCGATGTTTTTATAACATTAACATACCGGTTGCATTTCCGATTAACTAGAGAAGGCATGCGCCTAAGACATCGTGTACTTTGATACTTTGCGCTTAAGCGGCCTGGTTGAACGTAGAACTGAGTCATGTGAATGGGAGCGTCGAATGTAATGCGGTAATTGTGTCGGTCGATGGACATTGAAAGTTGAATATTGAAAATCGCGGAGTGGACGCACGAAAAGGCCATTAGTCGAACTATTACAATGTCGTAAATGGGTTCCTCAATCCCTCAAAATGATTTTGAATTATCTATTCGCCGCGTTATTAATGCTTGCGCAAGCTATTTTTCTAGTGCAAGGAGCAAGAAATGTTATCATTTCCGGTAAAGTTATATTATGTAAAAATATTAAACGTATATACATATAAATGTATTACGCGTATTTATAATAATTATAAACCGTATAACATTTAATGAAGCCAGTAACTTTTTAATCAAATTTGATTTCAGTTAAAATTTCATACATTTAATGAATTCGCATTTTGTATAAAAAGATTAAATCCTTTCGTAAAATATCAAAATAACGATCCGCGAATTGCAGATACTCGTAATCAAGAATTGCTCAATTATTTCATAAACCCAACGCTCTTTTTCGTTAATTAAACCGTGTTGTACGCGAAACATTCTCGGCGGAGCGAAAGAAGTACGCGCGTTAATTGTCACGCGCGTCCTTAATGTCGCGATAATCGCGCGACGATCTCCAAGGCGCCGAACGTTTCCGCGCGGCATACTGCATGCTCTCGGGACTCGTCTGTTGTTCAGTTAGGTTGCGGAAGGATAATTCACCGTACCCCTCTACCTCGGTGCGCCTCTTCCACCTATCCTCCCTGGCAGCTATTTGAAACTGGTTTCGAAGCGGGCCTCTATATCTCGGACGTAGTCATTGCGTAATGAACCAGCCATCGGCCGAAGAGACGAGTAGATACATACATATATACATATATATATTTATATAGTATATACGTACCTACACATTCACCGCACAACGGACAGATCTCTCTTCTCTCTCGTCGCACCACCCCTCCCCCCCCCCCCCCCAAGATTCCACATCTTGCACGGAGGACTTCTCTCACCGCGGACTCCGTCCGCTTCGTAGACATGCGTTTCGCAAATCGATTTCTCGATGGAGCCGCTTCTTCTGCTGTACCATCACGAGCAGGGAAAAGCGACAGGAGTCGTCGGTTTGCCGGTCACGAGTTGCGAGTCCGCGATTCGATCTAAGTCCAGATCTCTCGATGTAGTCGAAAAGTGATTGTTTTAAATAGAAAATAATTTTTTTTTTGTTTTTAGAAATAAGTTGCAAAATATCTCTAGATTGTGTTGGAAATCGATAAAGTTTCTCAATAAGGTTACCTTGTCTGCTTTTGGATATTGTAATAAAAAAAGAGACACGACGAGACTGCGAGAACATCTTAGTTTCTCATCTCTTAATGCACTCCGCGGTAGAGTCGGCGTAATATTTATAATTTACAACGGACGCGCAACTTTCCCCAACGGACGCGTACGCGGCGATTACACTTGCGATATATCACAAAATCACAATGTCTTAGATATGACTGCTTCCGGATCTGAGCCATATATCAAGGCAATCATACATGTAACATTTGTCTTAAGTATTTATTCTTAAAGAAGATCGTCTTTTCGATAATAATAAACGTTCTATTTCAAGGTATGTCCCACATTAACAGCATTTATTAAAATATGCATTTAAGAACAACCGTGGAATCTGTATACATTAATTATTATCTCTATTTGTCCGTGTATATACATAGTAATTAAATGAAAAGGAACAAATTTAAGATTAAGAAAGCAGAACTCAAAAACTGTTGGACTTTAGAAGTTTTCGAACGACTCATAACGAATGAAAAAATAAAGATGAAAAAGTCTTAAAATATTATCGAATCACTATATGAAAATTAAATTTGTAATGTAAAGATAAGTTACATAAATGAAGATAATGTAAGGAAAATTTCATTTAATCGTAAAGAATAATTGCGCGCGGCACGTCTAAAAGCATAAACCGAGAACTTCCGAATTCTCTTTCACGTCGACGCGAACACGCACATGCCATCACGCGCTACGTTCTACTATGGTCAGTGACATTTATGAGGGACAAGATAATACGTCTTCGTCCATCCTCGCGATTACACGTTACCATCCCGAGAGCGGTAGACAGTTTCATACCTAGTCCGAAGTACCGTGGGCGTACGTGGCTTGTCTGCGGATTTTGTAACGCGCTAGCCTCTCTCACGTATACACGCGTATATACGCAACACAGCGAGTTGCTTAGAAAAAGAGGAAGTACTTGGTGTGGTCGTAGGGGCCGGAGTATTAGTTTCCCTTTGCGGGAACGCGAGGTCGAGGGAATGGGGAACCGGGAGGAGAAGGAACTGCCGGGTGGGGCGCCGGCCGACGCCGTCGCCGCCGCCGTCGTCGTCGTCGTCGTCGTCTCCGCCGTCGACTCATTTCAGGTTCAGGCCAGCGGCCAAGAGGCAAGCTCAGGAACAGTGTGCTAGTTGGTGTGGGATTGGGATTGGCAACCGGCTTTCTAGCTCGTGCGGGTAGTCTAGCCGTGCGTCCAGCTTCGCTTATGTGCGTAGCTGTTCCCTACCTTCGCCGACTATTCTCCGGCGATACTCGGCATACGTTCGCCGCAGGCCGGGAACCCTCTCTTCGCTGCGTGTGATGCCGTACCCTCTTAGAGAACGTTGCGCACGTACACATATTCACGTATACACACACATACGCGTACGCGCGCGATTTTTTCCGTAACCTACGCGTACCGCATGCGTGTGCGTGTGAGAATCGAAGTGCAGCAACCTCCAAGTGGGATCGCGAGAATAAGAGAAAGAGAGGAAAAGAGGGAGAGAGAGAGAGAGAGAGAGAGAGAGAGAAGCAGAGAAAAGAGGAAAGAAACGGTGCCTCTGCCAGCACGCCTCCTGGACGAGGGTCCAGTTTCCTAGGTCGCCCGCTCGCGCGTTCAGTTACTGGTTCTACCGGAATCCTCCTAGAAAGATGCGTTGCGATCGTTGAACGACTCAGAGAGGAATCAGGATCGCTCGTTCGAGCGCCTGAGATAGCTGCGCCCAGATAGACTTTTGCGTCTTCGCGCGGAGGAAGTTGAAGCGCCCGGCGCAGAAAGTTGCCCCTTGATGATGCAAATGTTCCAGGACGTTGCCTTGCAACGCGTTCGTCTCGACGGCGGGGTGGCGTCTTGGAAACTACGCTCGGAAGAATTCGAACTCCAGAATGCAGATTACTTTGCGCATACAGCGAAGGAAGTAGATTTGAAAGAAGAACGCGCCCGCTTGAAACTAGCCGCGTCATCAAAAAACAAATACATCTTGTAATCGTATATCATCGTCCTGAGAGACATTCTTATTTTACATTTCTTTTAATGTGTCCAATTCTCGATCTAGATATTAATAATGAAGTAGAGACCCTACAACAGTTTGGCCACGGGAATTTTTGTTTAAATTCTGTAAAAGAGAAAAGTATAATATATGTATATTATCTTATATACCTACTAACTTATACTCTATATATGGTAGTCTTACTCTGTAGCCTTAATTAACCCTCGGTCGGCAATGTGAAATTTTCACTCTTCGTTCGCAATTTGGGTCTTAGAACTTCCGTGTAGACTTTTATAGCCGATATTCATAGTCCGTGCTAATTTCAAGATAGTTTTCAGTAATATCTTAAAATGTTAAATGGTTCCGTATTTGGCTTATGACATCCTAAGATTATACTTTAGACGGTCGTAAATATCAGAATCGACTATAAATATCAGCTTATATTGTTCCGAACTGTCTAAAGATCTGGAAAAATGTTTACGTACTTGTGAAAGATTTAACGAGTTTTTATTATCATGGATATTAGAAATTGCATTTTACTTATTTTTATAGATTAAAATTTATTTACCTAAATTTGCAATAAAAAAATCGACTATGCCTTTAAAATTCGACATTGGCGGTATAGAACTAAGCTCAATTATAGAGTGAGACAATCTAAATTAGAGGATATATTTAAAGAGATTATATATGTATGTATATAACTTTCTCTTGTCATAGGATTTTGATAAGATCGTTTGTGATCGTACTTTATTATAGGGCCTCTAATGATGATAGGAATAACACGTTTCGGTCATCGTGTAAAAGGATCTTTAAAATATAATTGAAATTTCCTTTTTAATACATATTTTATATCTTATATTTATCGAAATATATATATCAGGCTATGCATATTTATGAGAAAAGTAATTTGAGTAGCGTGTAGAAAATTAACGCGCCAAGTTGCCGGATGGCTTTGTACAGACATCTCCGTCGTTGACGTGTGATTGTACGAAATGGTAGCCGCAAACCTGTCCCTTTTTTTTAAATCGGAACCAAGGAGAGTCCCAGGTGGAAGAGATCCGCGAGGCTCGTTGGCCTCTTTACGATCCCCCTGCGGCACTCCCTGTCGACAATCCATACACTTCTTCGTACGTGGAGTCTCTCGGCGACCACGACTCGTACCTGTCCCCATCGACATCCTCTCCTCGTGAAAGCACCTTTACCGTACGTTCTCTCTCCTGAGATCGTGACGGTAGAAGACCGCACCGCCTTTTAACACCTTGCACACGCCATCGGGGCTTATTACGGGTTTTGAGAACGGATCGCCGTTATTATTGTAGAGAAGAAACGCAATCTATACAACAGCCGGCCGAATGATGATCCAGTCGACACAATTGACGTGCTAAGTTTTATTCTGTCTTCTAGAAAGAGTCCAACGTAATTTTGTCTGTCTCGTAGATTTGCTAATGTATTGATCTGGTGTCAATTTTAATTTCTTTAAAACCTTCGCCAAGATTTTTTAACACGATGAAATTCATTCTGAGTGTGATTGTAATCCACTTAATAACTTAATATCGTACAAGTACCGGTCAGAAAAAGTTCGGTGTCAAGGTTACAAACTCTTTAATCATATTCTTCATACATATATGCATTACAGTCACACTTACATCATGACTGAAACTGCGTAAAAGTAAAGTACGTCAAGCAAGATTACTTAATGAAGAAAGTCGATACTTAATTGTCAACATTTTAATATTTCATTCCAAATCTCTCGCCGACTTTATTATGTAATAATTATTTATCACGTATCCAATATGTAATATCGTTGAACACCGAAAAATCGCTAAAAAAAAAACCTCAGCGACAGTTCCGTGATCGTTATCGAATTCATGACTGAGTTCACGTACCGAAATTCAACAGTTGATATCGACAATAACACACACGCGGGTACAAGGCTAGAGAGTCGTTTAGGAAATGTACCCTCTGTTGATCGATCATCCCTAATCAGTATCGTCACGCGAACCGAACGTACACCGCATTTATCCTTATTATATTCACGGGATAAATATACCACCCACATGCTTCTCTCTCTCTCTCTCTCTCTCTCTCTCTCTCTCTCTCTCTCTCTCTCTCTCTCTCTCTCCCAAGCGCGCGCGCGTTACTACTAGTCATGTATTTAGTCAGCCGCATATGACCGACTCCTCGCTGGCCATGGCGTGGGAAGGGAAAAAAACATTCCCTTCTTTTGTTCCAACCGCAACGTTCTCTATTCATAAATCGAAACAGCGCGAGGTGGCGATCTAATCATTGCGGTACAACGGGCATTCAATGAGAACATTATTATTTTCCTGATGTTGCTGATGGAAGTTCCCCTTTTACTAGATAATTACCGATCGCGAATGCAAAGTGTTTCTATCACCAAATTTGCGTTATTAATTAGTAGTAATTATTAAAAATACCAATGTTCATATTACGCGCGATCATTATTGATGCTAATAATACTAATAATATCCATTTCAAATGACATTTAAATAATAATAATTAATTATTATCATTACACCGTTATTAAAACGTTAATTACACTTATTACCAATTCGTGCCTCGTTGATGAGAATTACAAAAATTTAGACTTCCGGGAGTACGTACTAAACCATTGCAAAATGTTTACTTTCGCAGATTCCCGAAACGGCTCATCAGAATTGGTGGATATGCCCACGGGAACTGTTCCGAATCTAAGCGCCGTGGCGGGTGTCGGTGGCGAAGACATGGCTTCCTTGTGGGCATCTTATGCTATGGGTTTCAAGAAAACACCGCCACCAACATCGGCGACAACGCCCTTGCGGTCGGATCGCGATCGAGAGTCCAGTCCGCCCGGTGGCGAGGGGACGGGAAGCGCCCACGATGAAACTAGCAGTAGTGGCAATAAGGAAGACGAGGACGACGATGATATAGACGCGGACGAGGGACTGGACCCAAGACACCACGATCCGGAACGTCTCAAGGCATTCAATGTAAGCATACGCAGTTCAATTACGTATGCGTGTGACTTTATAAAATTCATTTTTCTTTAAACTTTAGAGATATATTTTGAAATATCTTTTGACTTGAAAATTTAGGAAATAATTAACTCTTCCCGTTGCAACAATCTTTGAACTTTGATGCAGACTTTTATATTGTTCTGGACTGTATAAAAATCTGAAAAAAATTTCATACACCGATGAAAGCTATAATTTTTACTATTATATTTATATAAATCAGATTACATTTTACTTACTTTTTACGGATTTCAATTTATCTACCAGAATTTACAATCGAAAAATCGATTGTATCTTTAAAACCTCATATTGCCGACGGAATTTTAACGATAATTATTATTCTCATTATCCTACACTCGATGAATTAAAACGCGTACGGGATAATCGAATTACGGTTCACACAATGGTGGTTTAACTGGTTGCTTTATACAACTACCGTTGCAAGAAAAACGTCGTTCACGCCTTGAATAGGGAAAGGGTCACGCAAGGGGAGAAGAAAACGAAGCAGAGAAGTTCAGGTCGTCAGTATATTGGCGGCGCGTCGGACCTTTCCGAAAAACCCTAATTATCGTAAAGTTTTATGAACGGTTGTGGCGGAGAGTCGACTCGCCAGGGAACAGGCCATGCCGTTTCTCTCTTAAGTTTTTCCCCTTCATGCCCCGTTTCTCATATATATATATCTCTTTTTTTGCCAGTTTTCCCCGCGCGTGGAAGCTAAGCGGTTGTAGTTTCGCGGCGGTTGCTGCTGTTACGCTAGTTCCTTAATTAATTACAATTAGTTTAATAGAGTCCCGGTGTTGCATCCCACCCCGCCGCACTAAATTCTTAATTCTTTGAGCGGTTAGCGAGACTCGCTTACCAGCTCGCGTTTAATTCACTTCACTAACATGGCCGTTGCGTCGTGTCTCGCGGCAGATGTTCGTGAGACTCTTCGTCGACGAGAACCTAGATCGCATCGTGCCGATCTCGAAGCAGCCAAAGGAGAAGATACAAGCGATCATCGATAGCTGCACGAGACAGTTTCCCGAGTTTGCTGAAAGGGCCAGGAAGAGGATCCGTACGTACCTGAAGAGCTGTCGGAGAAACAAACGTGGCAGGGAGGGCCCTTGGGAGACCGTAAGTTTTCTACTCTCGCGTAAGATAGCAAACCAATTAGCTATTAAGTTTTTTCTTCAAGTTCTAACATATTTTTTAATTCAAAATTACAATTTTAGAATCGCGCATGGATTTTTCAACATTCTTGGATCTATAATTTCATCATTGAGAAAAATGTCTCGTTGAAAATGAACAAACCAGAAGGTTCTGATTATATCAACTGGAATTCTAGTAGAATTGATTAAAAAATTCTAGTTTATCCATTTTCAACCAGAATTCCAATTAACCCAACCAGACATTTTTCTCACATTAAAAAAAATGTCTGGTTAAAAATAGATGAATCAGAATTTTCTGGTTTTTATTAAAAATCTAGACAAGATCGCAACCGAAATTCTGGTTGATACAATATTTCTGATAATATCTACTAGAATTTTTATTCTTATTAGAATAATTATATATCAATCAGAATTCTAAGAATTTTAATAGATTTAACCAAAACATTCTAATTCGTCCATTTTCAACTAGAATTCCAATTGACCCAACAGTTTTCTTAGTAATCAATTAAAGTCTGGTGTTTTCTGTTGCTCATGAAAGCTTGAGCATTCTTGCGACGTGAATCAAGTTCGGTATACGGGATCGCGGATGTGACGTATGCATATTCTTTTTAGGCCAGACCCACGCCGGCACACTTGACCTCCGTGCAGGCCGAGCAGATTCTGGCAACGGCCTGCGAGAACGAGAGCGACAACGCGAAACGCATGAGACTCGGGATGGAGCCGGTGTCGCAGCCCATGCCAACTCTTCCGGCCGCAACGGTGAGTAATAATCACATGCGAAGGGGAGGAAGGACACACTTATCGCGAGCGACAAAGTTGCTCTGGCAAATAGACATTTCGACATCGTCAGCTTGGCTAGTAATTACGTGCCGCAACTCACACTCGCGTCTCTGGCACGACGAGAACGACAGAGACACCGAAATATATCGATTTAAAGCACTTTATTATTGTCCCCGATGAAGATCGCACGTGTCTCTTCACGGACATTTTTTTTAAATACCACGCGTGACTGAGCGTTAGATACTACACGTGCACAACCTTCTGGCGTTCTCGTTGACGACCGGATTCATTAATCAAGCGATTTTTAGATGACAACTCGCGGATGTTTGCGCGATGCGCTTATGAATCATAAACTGAAATATGCAAAGCGATAACTTACCGCAATAAATATAAATCTATGTGAGAGTGGAATTATAAGAAGAAATAGATTAATTACTCGCTGCGGTATCGAAATCGAAATGAAACGAGCTCGAGGTATTTTCTACAAAAAGCCAGCAGATAATCAATATAAGATATTACCAAATACTAACATAATACACTCGACTCAATACTACATAAATGAATTAGTAAAGTTTCAAGTCACAAAATGCGCATTACCTTCATTATTTGTTCCTAGTATCGCTGTTTTATTCACGAACATGTGGCGGTGTTTTGTATCATGCAGCAAATGCGTGTACAAATAACGTATGAACTTCAATAATTTTCTAGCATTTCGATCGACCGTTATCTTCATGTGAGAGACCATGCTTGTATTATACCTTCACACGCACTTATACATTTCACTCTCTATGCATTTGGATTTTATTTCTTTACGCTTTCATTAATTCGAAATAGATATTTTACCTGCACATTTGTTTAAATTTGTTATTTATTTAATATTATTTACTATTCAGTTTTAGATATATAAAAAATTAAATAATTTGAAAATAAAAAAGGAATGAGCAGAAATTAGGATAAGAAACGAAAAGACGCGCGATCTTAAAAGAGTAAAAGGATAAATCTTAAAAATAAAATAAAAAAAAAAGGACAAATAACATTTCCAATTACGAGAAAACGTCGTAGTCTCGCGCGTTGTATTATCGTGCGTGAAAATTTGAGCTCCTGTGTAACGCCAACGGCAGCGAGATATACGTGGACGGAGAGCTAGGATTGTGATATAGGTACCGCGAGAGAGGCCAGTGATAACCCGTGGGTCGCGCACCTCTCCCACTCTGATGCAACTCACGCATACAGAACGCGCACCACGGAGGGCCGCCAGCGGCATATAAGCAGCCTTCGACCTCGAGAAAACGCCTCGCGCGTGTGCGGGACGGAAGACACTGAAAATATTCTTGGAAGTAGTAGCAACGTAAAAGAGTGGCGCGAGATGGGAAAGAAGAAGAAAAAAAAAAACAAGAAGCCGTGGACTTTTATGCGTCGCGACTGACGCGCGCTTTCACGCACCGAGGAGAATAACGTCGACGACGTCGTGCGATTAGTCTCGCGTATCCGTAAATTTCACGGTACGTTACGTCAGCGAAGCGGACAGTCTCTCGTATCCGAAGAGAGCTTCGGTGAGCGACGATCGTATTGATTTTTTGAAAAATCCATCCGTCGCCCATCCAGCAGAAAAACCAAAATCGCGGTATTAATCTCATGGATTAATATTAATCGCTCGCGTTGACGTCACGCGTCTAATCTCAAGGTGAAACGATTTCGACGATTTGGGGTGACGATATGGAAACTTTTCTGTTCATCACCTAATAGCCTGCACATCGGGTTCGTTGACCCTAACTAAGATAGCGCGAAAAAGCGAGTAAACGGTAAACCGATCGCCTCGGTATTTCGCGCACAAAACGTGTAGGTGCAGATGGTAGTCGAGCCATCCAATTCCGCGCTGCTTGGCGCACCTAATCCTCATTTTCCTCCTTTCGTCTCTCCTCCCCAGCTGGTTCCGTCACTTGGGTTTCGCGCAGTTGGCGAACACTCCGAACGTCGCTCTCTATCGCTCCCTCTCTTTCTCTCTCTCTCTCTCTACCTCTACTATGTCTCGCGCGCAAACGAGAAACTGAAACGTTCGCGGCTTCTCCCCCCCCCCTCTCCCCCGCGTCTCCGATCTCCCCGACTTATCTACTTTGAAAATCCCTGCTCGAGAAGGAGATGGAGAAACAGAGAGAGAGAAAGACCCGATAACCTCTCCGGCGACCTAAACCTAACCCATTAAGGAGAAGACCTCTCACATACGTATGCCGAGATCCGTGCGCATCGAACGAAGCGGCTATCTGCGCTCTCCGTGACCACCTATATAATTGACGTCAACGCACACTGCTGGCCTTTCATAAAAACACCTCCCTACATCCGTTCTACGCCGCTCGAAGATTTCATTCCTGCTCTCATCGTACCCGGACCCTCTTCCCGCGACTCCTCACGATCTCTCGGGGTTCTCTTCTTCTCATTCTCCTCTCCTCCTCCTGCTCCTACTACTACTATTACTCCTTCGCCAACCCTCTCTGTACGCGTCGATCGCCTCTTTCGCCGAGCAAGTCATCCGTTTCTGTGGTGGAAACGCACATCACCACCTCGGCGTTCTCTCCACCGTGGTTCTCCTCTTCTTCTCTTTCTTTTCCGATGCAGCCTGGCTTCTCTCCCTCCTCTTCTTCCTCTCTTTCCACGAATTAATTTCCTCCCGTGAGCTTACTCACGCCTCGTCGTTTCGTCCCGGCGCATCCGGACGTTCTCTCTTCTTGTTCCCGATGTTCCTCCCTCGTGTCAACTCGCTTTTTCCTCATCTTCCTCGTGCTCCGTTCCCCTCCGCCTCCGTTTCCCATCGCCGGCCGGGAACGGCGTCCTCGCTTCTCTGAATCTCGCTCGAATAAACGCGGACGTTATTGTTATCGTATCGATACGTCGCTGGGTAGGCAGGGTGGGGCGCAAACGCAAAAGTGGAAGAAGATATTGAGAGAAGAAGCAGAAGAGGAAATCGAAGTGAAGAAACTCCCGGCGCGCGCTTTGTTCCGCTCGGTTGCTCGTAAGTAGCGGTGAATACGATCGTGCTCCGATGATCGGGATCGCGTTGATAACGAGATCGCGGATGGACGATATAATAGAGTCTCGATTGAGCTCGCATCGGGACGATCTACACGGCTTGATGATCAATAATTCGTAAGGTGATCGATAGTGCTCGTGTTGTTTGCCGATTAGTCAAACGTGCGAAAGATTGGTTACTCCCGGTCGTGTCAGCCATGAGGAAAAAGAATCTACCGGTAGTTCACAAGCTGGTGCGCGATCACGATCAAATTCAACAGGTATAATTATAGCAGTCTTGCCGCGCTGTTATTTTATCATCGCTCTTCAATATCTTCACGCAATTGTAAGAATAAGAACATCAAATTAACAGTTATTTGTTCGATATTCTATGGGGACTTGAGAGTTTTCAAATCTTTTCAGTCAACGTAAACTAAAAGTAACATAACATCAATGGTATAATGTCGCATTCAACAATATAAGTGTAATATAGCACATGACGTTACATAACAGTTACATTGTTGAGCGCCAAAATTATAATATTGATGTTTTATTACTTTTTAGTTCTTTGCCGAAAATAAAAATCGGAATGTAAGTTGATTGTAAGGGAAGAATGATAAAAGCGTAAACAAAGCTTTTAGAAGACGAAAATTGCGATAACGAATTGTAAAAAAAGATGTTTATGCTTCTTTTAAGTTTCAATTTTTGCCTTCTTCAAAGTTTCATTTACATTTCTGTTGCTCTTCTCTTGCTTTTCGTCAGAATTGTCGACTGAGTTATATTTCGATTATGTCGTAGTTAAATGTATAACTTTATAGGACAGAATATCGAATAAGCGTATAACCGAAATTAGTCGGATTTAAACTTATCCAAAGGATAAGCAGAATCGCAACACGCGACACAATTCTAAAATATACTGAAATGTGACCTAACACCGTTAGTGTATAAGCTGACAAACTCGGGCACTAAATTCGTTCTCGATCGAGAATTGGATTAAAAAAATACTTAATATTTAATTGAAGTAAAAAGTGTGTGAAAAATAATCACTTATAGGAAAAGAGGTTTCGCGTAGAGGTATCTCGATGAATTAATGGATTCGATTAATGAACAATATGTTATGACTCAATGTCGAAACTAGAGAATCAATTGTATCTTAAGAATAAAATTTTTACATATTATTCTGCAGCTTATACTTTAATTAAATACGTTTATATATTTATATAATTAAAAGAGACAAAACATATATATTATAAGAATTTGCTTTATCTCACTGTGTAACATTGATTGCAGCAAACGGACGTTCGATCAAGTTTGGAGCACTTCTCGAGCACACCGGTTAAATCACTTCCGTGTAAGAGGGAGGATACCCCTCCGGCATCATTAACGTCTCTGGCACCATTGACCAGTTTGGCGAACTTACCGAACAACACCATTGCCTCTACGCCGCTGTCGATCGCATCCGCGTCAAAGCTGCTCACAACAGACAACAAGAGTCTCATGAGGTCAGTATGATGAACTACATAGTTACGACGAAATCCGCGTTTTCTCGAATTAGCGACGTAATAGAATCGCGTTCTTATTAATTTCTTAATTAGCTTCTCACTCAGGATCGATTTGGCGTAAAGAAGAAAAATATATTTTCCTCGAAACTTCCGCCATTGATTTATTATTAACTTCTCTTATTTTAATTGCGAAAGAAATCTATTATTACGTTGCCTAGCGTGATTACGATTCATTTACTTTCCGCCTGAATTACCGTAACCGATTATTACTATCGGCGCTAAGATCCCCGTCGTCGAATCGACCGAGTTCTAGATAAGGCTTCGCCTTCGGTCATAGGTCATGGCACAAAAATTCACCGGACGTCGAACGGGTTACGCGTCCTTAACGGAACGTGAAGCGCTAATCAGCGCGACCTTTATCGTTAACGCGCATCTCATTCTCATTGCGTTTGTGTTTTTTTTTTTTCAGCCAATCGACGATAGTCAGTTCGACGGTAAATGGTGTCGCCAGCGGCGGTGCACCGACGATGTACAGACCCAACTTTAGCCAAGCGTTCCAGCGTTCCGTGCCCACAACGGTACCGCCGACCCTCTCGGCCGGGCTGTATCCGACTCAAAGTTTTACGTCAAGTCTGCTAAGCAACGGTATACAAAGTAATACTGATTATTGGTGTAATATGTTATTACGCTTGTTTAATCATTTGCCCAATGAAGAAGGTACATAATCCAAAGCTTTAACCAGCTTTGATTAAAAATTTTTTTTTATATTATTTTTTTATATTTTTTAAGTTTCGGATATTTTATTTGCGTCCAATTTGATGATATTAATGTATTATTTGTTTGCAGTACTCCATTTTCCCGAGAACAGTAATGCTTCGGTTTAACACGTTCCATGCCATACTAATTTTACTCAACTACCACACTATGTGGATCACGACATCTTTGTTTGCGTTTATTGTATTAGTTAAATAATATTTCAAATTTAATAATTAAAAAAAAATACAAATTCATTATCATAAAAAAGGAATTTTAACGTATTATATATTATAATTACATCCATTATATCAAAAATTATTTTATAATTATTTTTCTTTTTATAATCAAAATATTAGATAGTTTGAACAGAAAGTTCAGCGTGAACCCACGCGGCATGGAACGTGTTAATGATTCCTTATGGTGCAGCTTGCATTAAACTTTATCACATAATATGCTTGATAAAATTTGCTAAAATACTTTAGAACTGTCGCGTGTAATTGATTTTAAATTTACGTTATCCTTGCAGGACCGACGGATCTTAGCATGAAGAACCCACCAAAGCCTGCTCTGCTGAGTCACAAACTGAATTCGATGGAACTGACCGCGGTGAAGCAATTAATAGGTGGATATCGAGAATCAGCTGCCTTTCTGCTCAGATCTGCCGACGAGCTGGAACAACTGTTGCTCCATCAACCATAGAGCTACGTTTATTTGGCCAGCGTTCGGCAGCTTGGCTCGTAGTTACAACGACCGACGGAAAAGCGATGCGAATATTGATGTACACACAGCGTCTGTGTGAGCACCGAGAGTAACGCAGTCAGCGTAAATTTTGTTTCTTCAAGACCGTTTATACCACTACTAGGTCGACAATTTTGACTCTACACACGAATTTATCTTTTGCCACAAAATAGTTCACTTGGGCGAACTAAACGCATTCGATCCAATAAGACTAGGGTGCAAGATTACAATTTAAATATTAAAATTTTTAATTGTCAAGAGTATAATAATTTGAAAATTATATGAAAAATTAATCGAAGTTACTTTTATGATTGTACGTAAGGAAATTGTTTTCGTCGGAAGTCGAGAGGCTATAATCGCGACGAAAAATTCATACTAAAAAATGTTTACGCAAATTATCGTTATACAGTAGCTACGTTTGGGGAACACGTTGTCAACACTATTTATGTAAAATTGTCTTTGTTTCACATCTAATGGAAAATGAAGCTAAAGTAACACAAATAGCGTTAATAACATCTGTTTGAACGCAGCCATTGTTTGATTGAAAGCGCCAAAAACAGAAGAGTTCCATATACATAATGAATAATTGCATATTTCATTATACGCGTCGTCGCGATATTTTTAATTCTAGAATTAAGACAACTATTCGAGAACAGGGTGTACATAAAAAGATATTTACTTAATTACTCATAAGCTTAAAGAATGATGCGGCGAGCTAGGATGCGTGCGCGAGTGTAAGGAAGTAAATCGAAAAAGGAAGAAGCTTCCGGACAAGTCATTTGGAAGCGTGCGCTAGTATTTTCTAACGGATAGATGAGAAAGTCCCGGGACTTTTTCTTTATGGCCGAGAGATGCATTTGCATTTTTTCCTATTCAGATTCATAAGCTTCGAAAAATCGTTCGTGAGAGCTCCATAAATCTATTACAAGTATCTACTTCAACCGTTTCGATGATGGTCGACAAAAAGCTGTTGTGTGTTCTTACGAGACGGTAATTTCGCTAATCTGTTTGTTGTCGTTATGTACATATTACGTAAATGATATATGATGAGAATAGTTATTCTCTACGTGAGAATGCGCGATTAATTTACAATTAAATAGAATCGCGCCATTTACTTCGAGAGTGGCGTATATTTGAAGAATCAGTTCAAGGTACGAAAACAGCGTGATAAACTGTGAATTTTGGAGAGATTATCAAAATTATTGATTTTTTGCCATTTTTGGAGCAAATGGTGGATCACAGATGAAGATTTTACGACAGTCATCGTGTATATAGAAAGATAATGCATCCGCGCGTATTGATACGCGTGTATATAATACGTAGGTCGTAAAACAAGATTTTTTTTATTGGCGATGCGTCAGAGGCCTCGTCATTGGAAATTAATTAGTTAACAATAACTGTACAACGTCGTCGTAATATAGTTAGACCAGAGTCGTTTTGGAAACGAAGGAGCGTAGTGATCGGGAGTATAATTTCGGGACCATCTTGTCACGATCGGACAATACGTTAAAATCGTATTCGTGGTCTCCGGACGCATCACTGTGTTACCAAAGAACACTAATTATTATGGGTAATGTACGTATAGTACTATAGTAAGGATCGCGTTCTTTTTCTTTCGTTATTCTTTTCAGACGATACTTCTGTTATGGAAATGCGAAATCATTATTTCCCTCGACTAATACTACGGAGATAGATATACATGCCACTACATGTGGATTACGTGATAACTATATGCATTGTCTCAGATTATGAGTTTACCCATCATTCTTTTTATTATAATTAGTATTTAGATTATTATCGCTACTGTATTATTATTATTTTTATTATTATTATTATTATTATATTATCATTATCACCCTTGTTATTATCATTACAACATGATTATCATTGATATTATTGATTGCGAATTAAGTAATTGCGAGGAGGCAGTTCGCAAAATAGTACGAATAGATTATTCTGTTCTCTAATCGCGCGCGTCTTTTTCCACAGAGAGTTTTTGCTCGTTAAGTCTACTTTGTCGTTGTTTTGTACATAGTTTATGTATGTACATTATAAACGAAATGCATATAAAGATTGCGGAAATTAAGTTGCTTAAGTAATTAAATACAAAGAAGAGTATATATATATATATATAAATATATATGTAAATGCAAAATATCTTTATGCAAACAATTGCTGATTACTGTCATCGTCGAACTCCAAGCGCAGAACATTCCAATGAAAGAAAAGCAAATAGAAAAGTAGACAAGGAAAAAAACGAACAAGAAAAATCTAAAGAAAGAATTTTATTAAAAAGTGAGATGGAAGAAATTGAGAGCAAAAGAATGTGTGAAAGAGAGAAAAAGAAAATATGTATGGATGTGTATGTGTGTGCGCGATCATTGAACATGCGTTTCGTCGAACATTTTATGGAAATCACGGCTTTTATTGACCGACGATAGTCGTACTTCCATTTTCCTTTTCTGTTTGCGAAAATCGTTCATTCAAATCGCCGCGGCGAAATGCGCCCATCGTCGCGCGATCGAAATCATAATAATGTTCGCGGCACTTTACTGAGAGAGGATCGAATAAAGCGTTTCGTCAATTGGAACTAATTCTTATTGCCTCAATCATTTGTAACTCTGAATACTTGCGAAGTTGGTACACACACGCCGCCCTCCCCATGAATACAATTTCTCGCCCGTAGTAAACGGACTCGTCTCTTTAACCGACACAGTGCAATAGTCTATAGATACCGTTATTCTACCGTGTATTATCAATCGTCGTCACGATCATGCTTCTGTCATGCACGACATAAATAGTCTCAGCCATCCCCGCCCACCATTTTACGCGCTATCCCTTTGGTTTCAAGCAGGCATCACATTTCTTCATGGATATTAGCAGTTATTGACAAGTTCATATCTTACCACTAGCATTACTAACGTACATTTATACGTAATTCACCTCAGATCTTTGTAGCCGTATACATCGCGAGGGCCGAGCTCCGTTTTGCGTACCACATGTTTCTCCCTCCCCCCTCGAATCCGATGACCAATGATGTTCACTGCGCGTTCTGCTAATAATTAATATGATTATATACCTCGACGAATCTCTGAGATTGGATTCGTCAAATTCGAGAACTAATCGAAAGGAATTAATTGTAAATATTATTTTCGACCAAGTAAGAAGCGATTCTAAAGTAAGAGTCGAATTATTGATTCTGTCATCGCTATATATATATATTATATATATACACATATATATAAATATATATATATTTATAAAATATATATAATATATATATATATTATATTATATTA